CAGATGGGAGGGCCGCCTCGGGGGCTTGCCTGGGGCTACTAAGCGAGGGAACTGGGGCTCACTGAGGTGTCGGGCTGGCTAGAATGGCCACGCTCCCGTCTGTGCTGTCAGGGTGGAGGGGGACCATCAGCAGTGGTCCTCACCGGCACCTCCCCACCTGGGGAGCATTCCAGCAACTCCTCCAGCGCCTGGCAGACACTCTGGGTTTAGATCACCCGCAGTTGCTAGCCCGCCCCACTGCACGGGCAGCATCAGGGGTGGGTTCCCATCCTAACTATGTCTCCACCTCTCCTGCCCTTCTCCGTGTGGTCCTTCTGTTGGGGTGGAAACTGCCTTCCGTTCTTAGGGGGAATCACCGTAGGTGTAGGTATAGGTTTGGTGTGTCTGGAGGGGGAGAATTCAGGGTCTTCCTACGCCACCATCTTAGACCCTCCCCTTGTCTTGTCCTTGTTGATTAGCGGTCATTCTGTGTAGTCTGAATATTAGTCCTTTATTGGTTCACCTGTGGTAGATCTCTACTCTCTTCTCTGGTATCCTTAAGTCCTTATTTTTGGTGTAGTCAAATGTGCTGATTTTTCACATTATAGGCTGCAGTTTGGGGATTTTTTTTTTTTTTTTAAGATTTTATTTATTTGAGAGAGAATGGAGAGAGAGCACATGAGAGGGGGGAGGGTCAGAGGGAGAAGCAGACTCCCTGCTGAGCAGGGAGCCCGATGCAGGACTCGATCCCGGGACTCCAGGATCATGACCTGAGCCAAAGGCAGTCGCCCAACCAACTGAGCCACCCAGGCGCCCAGTTTGGGGATTTTAAGAAGCCCTTTCTCAAGCCTAGGTGTCAAAGACATTCTACACTAGTTTTATAAACCTGACACAGGTTTTTAATGTCTAGAGTTGACTTTCATTTACAGCCTTACTGAGGGATCCAGGTGTGGTTTTCTCCATATCGTTAGCCACTTTAAAACTAGTCCAGTCTTGGGCGCCTGGGTGGCTCAGTCGTTGGGCGTCTGCCTTCGGCTCAGGTCATGATCCTGGGGTCCTGGGATCGAGCCCCACATCGGTCTCCCTGCTCCGCGGGAAGCCTGCTTCTCCCTCTCCCACTCTCCCTGCTTGTGTTCCCTCTCTCACTGTTTCTCTCTGTCAAATAAATAAAATCTTTAAAAAAAAAAAAAAAACTAGTCCAGTCTTTTCTCCCTCCATATGTGGTGCCACCCTGATCATAGATCAAGTTCATACATAATAAGGTGGAACTGTCCCTGAGGTCTCTGTTCTGTGTGTCTATCTGAGTTACCTAATCACCATAGCTTTGTAGTATGTTTTATGTCTAAGTTGGCTGTAACAAAGGACCACAGAGTGGCTTGACAGAGCTTCATTGTCTCACAGTCTGGAGGCCAGGAGTCTGAGATTGGGAGTCCGCACAGTTGCTTTCCTCTGAGGGCTGTGAGGAAGATTGTAGCGTCCCTGTGTCCTAAGGGCTCCTGGTGGCTGTTGGCCACCACTGGCGATCCATCACTTGGTGTGCTCCCTGTGTGCATGACTATGTCCAGATTTCCCCCTTTGATAAGGACACAAGTGATACTGGATTAAGGGCCCCCCCTACTCCACTTTGACCTCATCTTAACTAATTATGTCAGCAATGGCCCACTTCCCAAATAAGGTCACATCATGTGGTACTAGGGGCCAGGGCTTCCACCTATGGATTTGGGAGGGATGGAACGCAACCCATTACAGAGGTCAAGCCTGCCCTCCTTGCCCCCTAATTTTTCCCCTCTTTTTAAGATTGACTTATCTATTTGTAAACCTTTATTCTTGACAAAAAATTCAGAACAATTTATAAAGTTCCTTTTAGAAATCCAGCTGAGGGGCGCCTGGGTGGCTCAGTTGGTTGAGCGTCTGACTTTTAGTTTCGGCTCAGGTTGATTATCTCAGGGTCGTGGGATCAAGCCCCACGCTGGGCGGGGAGTCGGCTTGGGATTCTCTCTGTCCCTCACTCCTCCCCCACTTGCACACGTGAGCTCTCGTTCTCTAAAATAAATCTTTAAAAAAAATTTTTTTAATAAAAATCCAGGTGAACTGAGCTGGGATCGGGCGCCAGGCAGGGGCAGTATGAGCAGTGGGGGCAGGCAGGACTGGAGCAGAGCCAGGATCGAGGTTGGAGGTCCCAGGCTAAATTTATTAAAAAAAAAAAAAATCCAACTGAATTTCATAAATGGGGATTACATTGGATTTATAGGTTAACTTGAGAAAAAATTGACCTCTGTAGTGTATAAGGCCATTTCATCCAAGAGCATGGGGTAGATTTTCATTTAGTCAGATAATTCTTTTTTCTCTTTTTTTGTCCTTTTTACTGGGTAAGAGTCTTGCATTTTCTCCAGGTGAGTTCCTGGATTGTATTTCTTGTTGCCCATGTGACCGGTGCCTTACTTTGGCTACATCATCTGGTTAGGTCTTACTGGTATAGGAAAGAGCTCATGTGTTTGCAGGCCTGATCTCCTGTTAGCAGCCTTGCACACCGCCAGGGGGCAGACAGTTCCTCGCTTGATCCTGTTGGCTTTATGTGTAAGCGATCACATCATTGGCAAATAGAGTTTAATCTCTTTACCCTCAATTTTTTGTTTTTTAGAGCATTGGTTAGGCTTTCCAATACTACATTACACAGCAGAAACAGTGAGCAAACTTGTGGTCCTGCTCTTAAAAGGATTGCATCTAAAAGTTTCTCCATAAGCTATAATCTTGCTAGATGTTTGCTATGTGATCCTCAGTTAAGGAAGTTCACTTCTGTTTCTTGTTTGCTTAGTTTTACCATGAATATGTGTTGAATTTATTAAATGCTTTTTTTCCCCCTATATTTTATCTATTTTGTTGGTTTTTTTTTTTTTATAGATTTTATTTATTTATTAGAGCACAAGTTGTGGCAGAGGGAGAGGGAGAAGCAAACTCCCTGCTAAGCAGGGAGCCTGATGCAGGGCTGGATCCCAGGACCCTGAGATTCTGACCTGAACCAAAGGTAGATGATGCTTAAGCGACTGAGCCACCCAGGTGCCCCCCTGTTTTATCTATTTTGATAATCATATTCTTTTTTTTTCCTTTATTTGTGTTGTAATTTATACTGATTAACATTCTTGGAATCCTACTTAATTATGATATATATACTCTTGATACCATTAGCTAATATTTTATATATAATATATGTGTTTATATTTGAGATGGTACTCTAGTTATCTTTCCTCTTACTGACCTTATTTGCCTTCAGAATCAAGATTGGGTTGGCACTATATGCTTTCCTGCTCTCTTGAAGCTCTCTTTTTCTGGAATAATTCATACAAGATAGCAAGTGGCTATTCTGAAAATTTAGAGAATCCACCTATGTTACAGGATTTACCTGGGTCTGAGGCTTTGGAAGCAGGGTGACTTTGATGACCATTTCAAGTTATTAAATGCTACTGACCTATTTGTGCTTTCTGTTTCTTCTCAGGACAGTTTTGGTATATTTTTTCCAAAATATATCTTGTTTAGGTTCTCAAATGTTTTAGCTCATAGTTGTTTATAATGTTCTTTCTTTTACAGTTTTTAATTCTCTTTTATTCAGGATTTTCTTACTTGCATTTTCTATTTTCTATATTCCTTCTTGACAGAAGTGTATCTTCTTTAATAATCTTTTCAAAGAACCACCTTTTCCCCCTAATACTCTGCACTGTCTTTTCTTCCCATGTTTTTCACTGACTTCTATCTACCCTTACTTTTATTATATTCTTTCTGATTTCTTTGGGTTTTCTCTGTAGTTCATTTTCAGCTGCTGAAATGCATGCTTAGCTTATCTGTTTTATCTTTTTTTTTTTCCATAAAAAATGTCATTTGGGGTGCCTGGCTGACTCAGTAGAGCGTGTGACTCCTGATCTCAGGATCATGAGTTCAAGCTCCACGCTGGGGGGCAGAGTTTACTTAAAAAAATAAAAATAAATAACAAAAATGCTATTTGAGGTTAAAAATTACCCGCAAGTGCTGCTTTAGCTGTGGCCCTCAAAATTTAACAAAAGCATATCATCTAAGAGGCACATTTTTCACATCTTAGCATCTCTGAAACCTAGATGCATCTTACAGTCGGTGACCTGAGTGTTCCAAGTAGCAGGTTTTTCTTTCTTAGTGGCGTGTAAAATTAAGACACATTTTACACTCAGTGCATCTTCAGTACTATACAATATTGCATAGTGTTTTCACTAGCTTTTACCTCTGAGTATTTCATAATTCTTCCTCTGGTTTATATTTTTAGCTCAGTAGTTTTAGTAATAATGCCATTTAGTTTTGTTTCCAAGATATGAGGCGTTTTTAGTCATTCTTGTGTTGTTAAAGTCTAATTGTATCACATTAAGGTCCAAGAATACAGTCTGTATATTATTCTTGGGAATTTATTAGGACTTCCTTCTGTCTTCAGCCTTCCTGTATCCTTTTATTTTAAAAGAGTCTCTTGTAGACACACAGGAACATGGTGTTTTTGCCACGCCCCACCCCCGCCGCCCTCGGTCCAGGCTCTGGTTCAGAGCCTGGATTCAGAAGTCACATAGTCACGGGTGTGAGCGTGCTGTCCTGGCACATGCACGCTAGTCTCCACCCCGGCGCTCTCTCTGAGCCTCCCTTTGCCTAGAGAAGGGGGACTAACCACCCTTGCCAGGGCCAGAGAGTTCACAGGTGTGCTGGGCACGTGGGAACAGCTCAGTAACATTGTCAGATCCCACTCTGAAGTTCCTTTTTGAAAAGGAACATGGACCTTTCATAGAGGAAAGGCTCATTACTTCCTTACTTCTTTCTGGGCCTTTCTTTCTGTTGATAACACTGGGCGCTTCAACCCAACGTGCCTTCCAGGGCTGTGGGGAAGAGCAGCAATTAACAAAATGCTCCTGAAAGTGCTGTGAAAGTAGAGGGTGCAATCAAACCTGTTCTTAATCCCAAGCAGGCCCGGCGGTGAGGGAGTGGCAGAGTGTGACCCCTTTTCCTTGCCTTGGCAGAATGCCGAGAGCTGTTTACAGCAGAAGAATGAAGCCATCACATCTTTTGAAGAAAAAAACAACCAAGTTATGTCCAGCATGAAACAGATGGAAGAAAGGTAATCACTCCTCCCCCACCCCGGCACATACTCCTTAGGAGATGGGGACATTCTCTGGACCTGAAGTTTCTCTCACAAGTACAGACAACTTGGGATGATGGGCCTTTGGGATCCTAGTCTTGCTGAAGGGGGCCGATTCCCAGCCCTAAGTGTGTATTCCCTTAATCAACCTTTGGGTTCCTGTATCACATTGTCTTCCCAGGGGGTCAGACTGGTACAGTGAGGTCAGCAGCATGGTCACATTTTTACATCAGTCAGTAGTGGATCACAAGAGAGTCTGAAAACAGACTCACAAGAATATGGCAACTGATTTTCTTACAAGAGTGCAAAGGCAGTTCAGTGGAGCAAGGAGTCTTTTTAATAAATGATGTTTGAACAATCAGAAAAATGAATTGCAATCTACATCTCATATCTTATTCAAAAATTGACTAGAAATGGATAAATCTAAATGGAAAACTTAAAATTTCTAACTTTTAGAAGAAAACATAGAAAATCTTTGTGGCTTTGGGTTAGTCAAAGAGATCTTAGACGTGACATGAAAGCCTGGGGTCCATGGGAGAAAAATTTGATAAATTGGACTTTATCAAAATATAAAACCTTTGTTCTATGAAAGACACACTTAAGAGAATAAAAAGACACGTTACAGAATGGGACAAAATTTGCAGATCATATAACTGACAAAGTACTTGCATCCAGAATGTATAAAGAACTGTCAAAACTCAACAAACAACCCAGTTTAAAAATGGACAAAAGGCTTGAAGACACTTGACCAAAGAGGGCATATGGATGGCAGAGCAGCACACAAAAAGACGTTCAGTATCACTAGCCAGCAGGGACGTGCGTGTTACAATCACAGTGGGGGTCACTGTGCATGTATTAGAACAGCTAAATATCTTTTTAGTGACAGCCCTGAGTGCCGACAAGACTCCAAAGTGACTAGAACTCCCCTGCCTTACCAATGGGGATGCCAAATGGTACAGCCACTGTGGAGAACAGTCTCTTAAAATAAAGCTAAACATCCTCTTATCATATGACCCCACAATCCTACTCCTGGGTATGTGCCCAAAAGAAGTGAAGACTGATGTTCACACAGAAACCTGTACACAAATGTTTATAGCAGGTCTGTGCATATAGTTGCCAAAACTAGAAGCAGCTCAGAGGTCTTTCATCTGATGAAGGGGAAACAAACTGCCTATACCATGAAATAATACTCGGCCATCAGAAGGAACAAGCCACTGATACACGAACCTGGAATGATCTCAGATACCGCGCTGAGTGAAAGAAGCCAGTTTCAAGAGGTTATATGAGGAATAATTGCATTTCTAGGACATTCTCGAAAAGCCAAAGCCATGGCATCAGAGCACATCAGTGGTTGCCAGGTTTAGGGGTGACTCCAGAGGGCAGCATTAGGGAGCTTTCCAGGGTGATGGAGCTCCTCGTCGCCACGGTGGTTACACGAGTCTGTATGCGTGCTGAGAACTCTGGGAACAGTTTTACTGGGTGTGTATTTAAAACCCCAGCCACAAGACTGTGAAAGACGCTGCCCTCAGCCTTGAGGATAGCTCCTTTCCCACGGAGACCTGGTTCTTTGGGCGCAGGTTACAGGTCTCGGAGAGGGCGCGGCAGGGGGCAGAGGAGCGGAGCCACAAGCTGCAGCAGGAGCTGGGGGGCCGGACGTGCGCGCTGCAGCAGCAGCTCTCCCAGCTGCACGAGCAGTGGTAGGCGGGGCCGGGGCGGGGCCGGGGGCGGGGCCAACCGCCAGGGGGCGGGGCCGGGCAGCTCCCGACGGGGTGCAGGCAGTGTCCCTTCTGCGTTTACGCCCCCGAAGCGGGAATCAGGGTGTGTGTCAGGCCCGGTGTCCCTCCTTTCGCAAGCGAGAGCGCCGGCTCGGGGGGTTCGGGAACGTCCCAGAGCCACTCAGCTGGTGAGAGGGGGAGTGCGGTAGCTTTCTCCCGCCTCGACCCCGTGTCCCCCGGTGGGAGCCGGCTCTGGGTAGAGGATCCTACTCGTGCGGTCCTAAGTGTCTCTCGGGGCTCTTTCCCTTTCTGCCCGCTCGAGTGCTGTCAGTGCATGCGCCCGCTTCCCCTGGCGGGGTCCTGGTCTTCCCTCTGGAGGGGCAGGTGGCCCTGCCGGAGAGGGAGCCCGGCTTCCCTGCTCTGGTGACCGGTTTAGGTGCAGGTGCAGCACTTCTGATTTCTGTGAATTCCCCATTTCCTTTGCGGAGAATTGGGTTGGAGATTGTGCATGTTCCATGCATCTCTCACTGAGACTAACTCAAGTTCATTTTGGGAAAACAGCTCGAGTCTAGAGAAAGAGTTGAAATCAGAAAAAGAACAGAGACAGGCTCTTCAGCGAGAATTACAACAGGAGAAGGACACCTCCTCTCTACTCCGAGCAGAGCTACAGCAAGTGGAAGGATTAAAAAAGGTAAGGCTGCCGGCCTGGGAGGGGAAGAGCTGCTGCCGTCTCCAGGAGCCCCTGCCACAGAGCCCTTGGTACAGCCAGAGCCGCGCCTCTGCGCCAGGCGGCTGGTGCATACACCAGCCACTCGGGGAGCAGTGCGGTGGGGAAAATAAAACAGGGAGACGGCCCACAGTGGCGGCAGTAGTCCGGGATCCGGGAAGTGTGCCTGGGAGGCTGACCCAAAAGACAAGTGAGGGCCAGCCATGCAGAGGCGGGCAAAGGATGTCTCGGGCACACTGGTCACACACCAGCCCTGGCGGAGGATCCTTGGGGATTTTGTTGTGTTGAACAGGATCATGGGTACTGCTGCACGCTCTGAATGAGCCCACAAAGGTCCTCTGATCTCTGTTGGAAAGTGTCTAAGAGCCCCTCCCAGGGGAGCCCACTGGGCCAGGGGTGGGAACCACTGGGGAGGGGAGAGGTTCCGCAAGAGCCTCTCAGGCTCTAAGAGGGGATGGGAAGAAATAGAGTGCAGAAGAGGACTCCTAGAAGGTTCTGCATCTTCCCCCCTGGATTCCCTTTGGTCTAAGATTTGAATTGCATACCCTCTTGCCCCACACCTGCACTTAACGTACACACACAAACAAAACATGTCTGACGTCAGAGCAGGTGTCACCAGGCTCTGGGGCAGAAGGCCCAGGGGCAGCTGGGAGGGACATGCCCACCACTCAGGCCTAAGCCCTGCTGCTCTCCATCAGCCCTGAACCCCAAATCACTGTCCTGGGTCTTTGTCAGGGCCCTTGCCAACCTGTGTCCTCCAGAGGCCCTGGGCCTGGATGACAGTGGTTATCAGTGTGTGAGCTTCACCCCACATACGCACATGGTCTCGGGCTGGGTGTGAGATCCCACATCCTGGCCTCCATCAGCCTTGGTCGTTCATTTTCAGGAAGTTGAGACCAGCCCTTTCCAAAAAACTATTTATTCAAATGAGCTTTCACTGTGCAGGTGTCCCCCGCTCCTGCATAAGGCTCATCTGTGCGTGTTTTGAGGCAGTTCTCTGTGTTTCAACGGCCTTTTAATAGCAACTCAGATGGGCAAGGCCTTGCTCGCCCTGTGTGGGTGACTGATTTTCACGTAGCTGTTTTCCTGTCCCGCATCACTGTCCCCACTGCAGGTGCCTGTTCTGGAGAAACGGGCTAGTGAGAAGTCATCCATGAAATAACCGCAGCTCAAATGAGATTAACACAACAAAACTGCTTTTTGCTCTTGAAAAACATTCTGACCTGCTTGTCGCTGCAGTTACATGAGTGTGTCAGGCCTCTGGTTGGTCCGTTTTAGGAGCTGCGGGAGCTCCAAGACGAGAAGGCGGAGTTGCAGAAGGTTTGCAACGAGCAGGAACAAGCCCTCCAGGAAATGGGCCTGCACCTCAGCCAGTAAGAAGCCCGCCCCCACCCTCCCCTGCCACCTGTGTCGTGGCCCAACTGGGCCTGCCCCCCTTCCTCCAGAGTCACACCAGCCTGCCCACCAGGCCCCAAACCAGGGAGAGGAGGGCCGGGCAGGAGGCCAGCCAGGGGTTTAAGGGCGACCCCCCAGGAAGTCAGCACTTGGAGACACAGCGCCGGTTTAATGCATTAGGAAATCCCTTCTAGTGAGCCCTCCTGTTCACTAGCTCAGCCTCTACATCCCAAGCAAGCCAGGGGGGCGGTGGGTGGGGTGCTTGCTGGGCCCGCAGTCAGACCAGGGGGCTACTGTGGTTTGAGGATTCCGCCTGCTGTGGCATAGCACAACCACCACCTCCCTTTCTGGACATTCACATCTACCAGCATCTGTCTGTCTATCTGTCCTGCTGGGTACTGCTAAAGGAGCACAGACCTTAGTACTTCGGTCTCTTCCTTTGACCTGACAGCCCTCCCCCGCAGGGTCCCCGTCCCGCCAGGTTCCTCTGGCCCATCCAATAGGTCACACTGCAGATTGTAGGATTTGTTCATTTGTGAGATGATTGTGTTTGCAGAGCCGCTGGGGAGCTTTATTCTCCTTAGGAGTCAGGGCTCCTGGTTGCAGAGGGACAGAAACCCAGCTCAGACTATCTCAAGCCCAAAAAGCCATCGGGAATCAGTGTCTCCCTCCTAGTCTGCCGTCCTGTCTGCTCCCTCACCAGTGGCTCTGGTCCCCACCAGGTCCTGTTCTGGCTCCTTCCCCAAGCACAGTGACCAGAGAGATGGGGGCCCCGTGGGAGCCTGTGACCAGAGGTCCAGACATGGGGACCGACAGAGAAGCAGCTAGAAACACACGGTAGTAGCACGCGTGTCAGTCAGGCTGCGCTGGGCTTGTGTCGAGGACGTGTGACGTGGGCAGGGATCCCCGAGGAACATCCTTGGTGCTCCCTCCCTCCCTCCCTCTTCCCTCCATCCTGCAAGCCGACACCAGGTGACAGAGGACAGGGTTCTCCTCAGATCCTCCACCAGCTAGACACAGCTGCCCGGTTTCTTTCTCTGGGCAACTTCCGGATCCTTCCCAAGTTGTGTTCCCCGGGGACGTGCTTGCACGTGCAGGCTGCCGTCCTGACCTGGTTCCCCCTGCCCCCCCGGGCAGCTTCTGGTCCTGTCACACTGCAGGCCTGTCTCTGAGCTGCTCAGGTGGGACTGAAGGCCCCGATGCTCAGTTCCCAGTCCCCCCCTGGAAGTCTCGTCTATGTCTCAGAGCCCTGCCACTTTGACCCTTCTGTTGATCCACTGACAGTTTAGGCTAATGTCAGCTTTTCAGAAAGGGCTCAGACCTCCCCCCACTGCCCCAGCCTGCAATTACAGATACACAGTTTCATTTTATCTGGTTGAATTCTGCCAGTGTAGACCACATTCAGGCCTGTCTTCTATGTGGACGACTAAGGAACTGTTCTTCTGCTAACAAGGGTGGAGCAAGTGAACCTGTCCTCAGAGCAGGACTGTTCTAGAAGGAGCAGGCAGCAGGAAAGGGGCCGAAGGAGCCATGAGGATTTGGGTGCCTACCGTGGGGGGGCCCCACACCCCCATTCAGGCGCATGTCCCATGCAGGAATGGTTGCCCGGAGAAGCCAGGAACCTTACTTCTAGGAAATTCTTCCCAGTTGTTGATTTTATTTATTTGACAGTGAGAGAGGGAACACAAGCAGGGGGAGCAGCAGAGGGAGAAGCAGGCTTCCCACTGAGCAGGGAGCCCGATGCGGGACTCGATCCCAGGACCCTGAGATCGTGACCTGAGCCGAAGGCAGACACTTAACGACTGGGCCACCCAGGCGCCCTCCCAATTTTTAAATGGTTGCAACTACTTCAAAGTCTTTTTAAACCTTGCAGGCTCAACAGTCTGTTTTGGGACCACGTTCGTTCCACAGTCTCCTAGAGCGCAGCAGACATGAGCCAGCATGATGAGGTGACTGGGATGATAAAAGGCAGAAAGCGTGTTCTCGAACAACTCCTGTATGGGGCTGCTCTCTCCTAAGCCGTCACCCTCCTGAAGCCAGACAGTAGCTGTGGGCTTGCTGAGTTTGAGAGCCTCGCACAGCTATAATTTTTCTTTTTTAAGGTCAAAGCTAAAGATGGAAGACATCAAAGAAGTAAACAAGGCGCTGAAGGTACTGGAATGTTAACGTTATTAGCCTCAGAATCATTGCCCCCGGCTTAGTCAGCTCACGCTCCTGCCCTGGGCACTCAGGTTCTCCCGAGTCAGGTGAGGGATGTGTCCCAGAGGCCTGTGACCCGGGGACGTGAGACACTGGCAGGCAGTGGGGCCCAGCCCGCAACCTCCGTCCTGATTCCAGCCCCTCAGCTGGACGTTCAAGAGCAGGCCTAGATCACAGGAGCCCAGATGAAGGGAACGACAAGTGGCAGAAAGAGATCCAGGGATTTCTTAAAATAGGGAGCAAGCGAGGGGCCCGAGGCCACCCCGAGCCGGGCCGCGTCTCTGGAGCATCTCCGGGAGGGCCGAAGGATGCCCGCCACCTAGGGTGGGCGGGAACGCGTGGGACCAGGTGACCTGGTCTGGGCGCCAGGCTGGCCAGCTGGGGTGCGGACGGGGGAGAGGGGAGCAGTTGAGAGAGGAAGGGACAGCCCAGCTGGGACAGGCGAGTCCGCCCTCCACCAGTTCGGAGACCCTGGCGCCTGGCAGGTCAGGGGCGGCCAACTGTCCCAGCCATCTTAGCAACCCGGACGTGAACTTGGCGGCACTGGCTTCCCTCTCTTGTACCTGGAAAGCTCCTTGAAGGGCACCCCTGCCCTGCCCAGATGTGCCGGCCAGCGACGGCCAGCAGCACCACGGGGACAGGCTGTCGGGCGTCGCGCTGCAGCTCCTGAAGTGGCTCTGTCACCGCCAAATGCCAAGGAGCCAGAACAGTTCCTCAGGCGTTTGGCCCCACTGAGCGCTCAGTTCCTCTGGCTGCACAAATGGCACATCCTTGTTTTCCTTTAGAACGATCTCCAGAAAGGCAGCTTTAAAGCCTCAGATCCTGCCTCACCACATTGTGCTGTGGGTTGGGGGGCTTAGCATGGGGACAGGGGCCTCCCATCTCCCCCCCCCCCCACTGGCACATTGCCTTCTGTCCCTCTGCAGGGCCCGCCCTGGCGGGACTGGCCCCTCTCCATCTGGAGCAGGTCTCCGCCAGGGTCAGTTTGGAAGCACTAGATCCGGGCTCTGGGTACCTTGGCCCAAGAGCATTTTTGAAAGTGGGCAGCTGAGTCTGGATGACAGGAAGCCGGGGAACCTGGCTGGAGGCCCAGGGGTGACCTGCAGGGGCCGGGAGGCCCGAGCCAGAGAGCATGCGGGCAGCAGCACCTGAGCTCCGGCCATGGCTGCATCTGGGGGCGGGGGGAAGGAGGGAGTCCCTCGAAAGGCCCTGATGTTGGGCAGTCGGAACATAGCTACAGGTCCATCAGGAGCCAAGCCGCAAAATGGGGTTCTTTTGTGGTCTTTCCCCCTCAGGGCCATACATGGCTGAAGGATGATGAGGCAACGCACTGTAAGCAGTGTGAAAAGGAGTTCTCCATCTCCCGGAGGAAGGTATGTGGGGTGGCCCTCCAGCAGCTCCCACAGGGGCTCCCCTTCAACCCACTCCCGTGGGACCCGGGCCACCGTATGCAACGGCGCTCGCTGGTATGCTGACCCCCGCAGATGGCTTCCCAGCTTGTCCCCACCCGTCCTTTCAAGGATTGGCAGATTTCTTTGGGAGTTAGGGCTGCTCGCGTACAGAACACTAGGTGAGTGTATCATTCAAAGTTCATGGTCAGCAACAGGACCAAAATCTGACTAAATTAGGCAAAAACCATCTATAGAGAACCCGTGGTTAGACAGGCATCCACACAGCCCCAGAAGCTGAGCCAGGGCCCGTGCCCCGGAGACTCTGCCTTCCGCTTCCAGGACCGGGGGGGGGGGGGTCCCCGCAACCAGCCTTTGGTCCAGGGTTGCTGGGGCTTTGATGGAGCAGTTGGGCAGCACAAAGGCAGGACACAGATCCCTAGCAAGACTGGAAGCCTGTCCAGCCCACTAACAGTGCCCCACCCCCCACCTTACGGCTGTGCATTCTCCCCGGTCCCCGTCTCATCAGGCCCTGTGGGAAAGGAGAAATCCCAAATCCTGGCCAGCGCCTCGCGTAGGTCCAGCGGTAGAAACGGCCCTCCTGAGGCTGCCTTTGAGATCAGGCTTGGGCACAGGGCCTGCTGGAGGCTGGGGCCTCGCGGTCCCCAGCCCCCAACCAGCCTGGCCATGGCCCAGAGTGATGGAGGCGGCGGGCGGGCAGAAGCTCCGCGCAAAGGCAGGAGGCACTGGCTTTGGAAACCTCGCGTCTGCAGCAGACGCCGTGACACCAGGGAGCGAAGCGGGGATGTTCCGTAGCCGACCAGCAGCCCCAGTGCGTTCCAGAGCCTCAGTCCTACAAGTGCACACGCCCCCCCCCGCCCCCGAACGGACCCCTGCTGCTGGGGCGGGGGGGTGTCGGAAGGCGCCCGCCCTTACCACCCCCTCGTGCCCCCCAGCACCACTGCCGCCACTGCGGCCACATCTTCTGCAGCACGTGCTCCAGCAACGAGCTGGCCCTGCCCTCCTACCCCAGGCCCGTGCGCGTGTGCGACAGCTGCCACACCCTGCTCCTGCAGCGCTGCTCGTCCTCCGGCCACTGACCGGGTCCAGGCGCTGCCTTCCGCCTTGCCCTACATCACCGGCTTTGGTTCCGACGGAACTTCATCATTTTGCTACTGTCACTTTTCACTTTTCACAAAATTAAGCGGTTTTACAACAGTTGTACTAGTGTCGCGAGCACCCCGTTCCTCTCCCCCCCCGCACTGTCTTCCCTGCTTCAGAGTCAAGAGATTGGCCGTGTCACACCCTTGTGAATATGTCTCTAGACCTGCAATAAAAGCCTTTATTTTTCAGGCTGGTGCAGAAAATGCCGGCATCACAGGGACAGCCTCTCAGGGAGGCCTCAGAGCCACCCCCGTGTCCCCGTGTCTGGACCAGGACTACCGACCCTCAGGGAGGGGGGACCCAGGGCGCAGGCTGGGCAATGGGGGAAGTGACCTTACCCCCGTCACCAAAGCTCAGGCGTTCTCTATGCCAGGGAGTTGACACAGACGATGATAGCTTGATCTAGTGCACTCCGATGGACACACCTGTGGGAAGCACCTGCCAGGCCACTAGTTTTTACTTTTCCAAGGAGGGCCAGGACAGGTGCTGTTTGTCGGCTATGAAAACGGACTCCGCGCATGCTCACCCCCACCCGACCGGTCCGTGGTCTCGAATATCCAGGTGAAGTAACTGTCCAGACTAGCCCGTCCATCCGCGAAGCCCTCGGTGGACTCCCCTTGCTCACTGCCTAGTCCCCCGCCCCTCGGCCCCTTCATTGTCCAGTCCCTGGCCCTTTCCTTCGTGGGCTCTGATCCCGCATCTGCCGTGCCCTTACATCCGTCCTTTACGAACGGGAACCTGGGTGGCTCAGCGAGGTTAAGTCCCAGGATCTGTGGGCCCAGCTCCAAAGCCACGTTCCTTCCAGGAAGTACGTGGCAGCGAGAGTGGCTGCCAGGGGGCCTCCCCTTCTGTCACCTCCTCTGAGCAGCTTTTTACATCTCCAGGGCCCAGTTTTTCCAAAAATGCTTACATGCTGCTGCGTGGCCAACTTGGTCTAGCATTAGAGATCGGTACCTTGTTTTCAATGCACCCAATTTGGACTCCAACTTGCTGGGGAGCCTGAGGCAGGTCACTTCACCTCTGGGCCTTAGCGCTCATCTGCACACACACAAAAGGAAGCAGAATACCTGAACCTAGACCGTTTTGACAGCTCCCACCACCGCGCGGCCCTCAGTGCTCTTCCCCGTGTCATAACGGATTCTTTTCCCCACCTCCCTTCCCCACCCACAAGCAACAGATGTTCGACAGGCATTATTCACACAGGATCGCTGTGCCACTTAGCAAGTGAGGCAGAACTTCTCTCCTCACGCATCAGACATGCCCCTGAACCTGTGGAACTCTCAGGCTGTGGTCTGGCAAACCCTCCTGACCTGGGTGACAGGGGCCACGGATGGCTTAGGACAGTGCTTCTCAAGCTGACACGCACAGGTCCATTACCCAGGGACACAGCAGGGTCCCACGTTAGAACGCCCACTCCCAACAGCATCTGGACGTTCTGGTCCTGGCTAACAAGTGCCCAGCTGGTTCTCATGCAAGGTTCCAAAGCACCAGAATGGCCCAGGCCTCGCTTTGGCTTTTGCAAACGGTTCTGCACCCACTTAGCCTTCCTCCCCACATGTCTAGTTATAGTCTCTTTTCTTCCAACGGGCTTTTTCTCAACACAGACGTTCCCTACATTAAACAAGGTAGCTGAAGGACCCAGGGAAGGCACCCTCCCGGGGCCTTCTCAACACGGGTCGCTTCCGGAGTGACTCCGCTAAGATCCTAGGGGCAGGACTAGGTCTAGAACACAGCTGGAGACCAAATGCTCAGGACCTCCCCCGAAAACAATTTTCTCTAAACCAGAAGACCAGCTAGAGGGTACATGCCAAGTCTAACACTTCTGTACCCCAGCCCGACTGCACACGTGCAACAGCACTGGCCCGCAGGGTGCGTGCACCCAGTCCTGACGGAGGGCATGGAGCAGGGTAGGGTCTGCAGGGCCTTCTGTGCACATTTGTGCAATGCTGCCATCTACAGACTCTTAGATATCGGGATTCTAAGCAAACCTCATCCAAGATCAGAATCTTCAGCACAGCATGGTCACAGCGAGTGAAAATGGCTTGGGGACGATCCCTTTAAAAAGTGCTGAATGCCAGCTACTCAAGAGTTGTCTGAGTTCTACCAAGACAGGTGGATTCCAATTAACCAAATTAAACTAGTCCTTTTTGCTCAGAAATGCAATTTGGAATTCTACCTCCAAAACTCTAAGGAATGAATTCTGCCCCTAAGTGAACCTGATCTTTAGGAATCAAAGACCAAAAGACTCCCTTTGAAAGCCATTTATAAGCTAGCTCCTTCTACAAGCCCCCCGCCCCATGTCCCATGGAAGCAAAACTTCAGGGAGGCCACCAGAGTGGGAAGGGCAGCTCCTGGTGGGTACCCCCTTGCGCCTCGCCTCCGGCACTGCCTTTTCACAGCCATGCCTGCCACAGGCCTCTGGGGACATGCAGAACATGCAGAGTACTGCCACCTCTCCCTGGGTTTTGTGCAAGCGCTTAGCAAGTCAAGGGCAGTTGGGGTTAGGTCCTGTGCAGCCAGGCCAAACACGCAGCCCTTCCACAAGGGCCCCCAAAAGCTCTGTTTACCTTCAGTTGCACCGGAGGGAAGAGGAGGCTGCCGAGCCTCTCTGCCACAGCCAGAGACGTGGGCCACTGTCACCTACGCCCCAGGCAGGAAGAGAGCACCAAGAAACAGTCCACATGACACTGAAGCACAGACAAGACAAAGTGCAGTTTTTAAAAGGAAGATTTATTTGACAAGTTTCACTTAGCGCAATACACCTAAAAGGAAATCACGATACAAGGGAAGATTTAAATCAAGGCCTCAGAATTTCATACAAACACCAAGACCAAAATCCTAACGTATGGTGTTGCGTCTCAAAGTCCCCCATTAACTTAAAAAGAAAAAAAAGCTTCAACTTACGTGCCTTAGAGATTATTAAATGAAACTAGAATTAACAAACATGCCAAATGTGTTCACTTTTAATTGTAGACACAGCTCCTATATTGAGTTTTACAAAAAAGCATGTCTTTCAACATGCATCCCAACAGTGTTCAATGTAATGTGGTAGAAGAGCAACATTTAACATAATTCAACTGCTTTAACCTAAATACACTTGCTGCTTAAGTACATCCTACAATAGAACTAGAGAAAAGCTGAAAATTGTTTAACAGTTATAGTTTACTCCATTGTTACATCCTAGATGAATGTTTGTGTTCAAAAAATACTGAACCTTAAGTCTTTAAAACAATCCTGATTTCCACTTAAGAGTAAGCATCAATCACAAGCTTGTATTGCAAAACTGTTAAACTTTTTTAAAAAAACGTTGACCAAGAGTCAGTGATCAGGATCAGTTACATCCCCCATCCACCACTCATACTGGACATGCTAGACATCCCTCCCATTCCGTTCACGCCCAGAGATGCTCGGCTTCCACTACTGTAGTAGCTGCTGTTCACTGCGCCTTGGCTGCCTGCAGAGAGAGCAATGTGACAAGTCAGCAGAATCATCAGATCATCAGTCAAATAAAACAGAGCATTCCAAGAAAAAGTTTAAAAAGTATACGAGTACAAATGGCTGCTGTCCAAGTGGCGAGAAGCATGTTTGGGAAAGGGGTCTCCCGACTCCAAACAAGTCTCAATTAACCCCTTTTCTCTGCAGTACCAACTTGCCAGACTCTTGCGCTACCATTTAATTGGATGCTTCAGGATCAACATAGAAAATTAAGTTTAAAGGAAAACTAGTGTTTTTCAAAAATTGCAAAAATTACTTGTTTTTAAAGCTAAGCAAGGCATTTTAAAAAAAAATTTACCATAAACATTCACAATATGTCCATCGAATGGCATGTATGAATAGGGAGGACGGGGGCAGTCTCTTGCTTTTCCTATTCATGGTGGGCAAGAAGTGAGACGACAAAAGTTGGGACTAAAGGCAACTCACTGTGCCCAAAATGGCAGCCTCCATGGAGTTAAGTCAGAGCCATTGACTGCTATAGAAATAGTGTTATTACAACATATCAGTATTTGCTATCGGGAATTTAAATTATATTTTTTGAGAAAATATTTACCTATGCAATGTTTGATTGAAAATCACTGGAGTTTTCCTGTAAAACTTGGTCTGCAAAAGGATTTTGTAGGGTAAGACTATAATACCAAAATCACCATTCTTTAGACCAATTGAAAAAAAATAAAAATAAAAACAATCCTAGGATAAAACTGACTAGTAAATACGGTCCTAAACCCAACCACCATTCTACTATTTAAATCCTCCCTCCATCTAAAATGGATTTAATGCTACCAAAAGACAGAAAAAAAAAAAAAATCAACAGTTTAATTGTTTAATAAATGGAGGCAGATGTTTTCTGGCTCGACATTAGTCCAAGTTGCAATGACTAGTTTTAATTTATAGAACACTTCCCCCTCCCAATGATTGGTTCCAAAAATTAAACTATTAAGAACAAGTTACGTTTGGATCAAAAGCAAACATTAACCCACTTTCACCAAAAAGGAGCCTGCATATTCCCCCATCTAAAGAAACCTGCCTAAAACTTATTTCAAGTATATAAAAAAACACACTTACCATATCCACTCATGCTGCTCTGGCCGCCATAGCCGCCTCCATAACCACCACTCAGCTGCTGACTGGCTGGGCCGCCATAACTGGACTGGTTTGCTGTTAAGTTAAGAGAACATTAGGACCTTGTTCCGTATGTAATGTGGTACCTGGTGGTACCGGGCTTGTAATTCTAAATCTATGATTTTCCAGTCTTGATCTCGTATCACTATAACCCTCTGCCTCCTTCTACCTATTGCCTGTGACCAAACTACCTTTCTATCCATCGTTAAGAACTAGACAAACAATTATAAACCCGAAGGCCAACAGTATGCACGTCAGCAGGACTAAATCCACGATTCCATAAGTAGAGGCATTCTGAGAAGACCTTAGGATATTGCTTAACTGGATTTAGTGGGGTTTTCCCCCAATAATTTGAAATAGTAAGGTTATGTCATACACAGATTATCACTGAACACCTAATTATGCCCAACTAACCATGCCCAAAACTTTGACCTTGTGCTTCTAACTAGGTATTAATTTTAGAGTTCTACTTCATACTTAAGACAATTCAACTAGTTTCTGCAGTCCCCTCCCCCAAAACTACTAAAAACTAGTTATCTAAACAATTTTATTTAACTCACAATGATTTAAATAAGCCAGACACAAAATTCAAATCACAATCTCTTTGCCTAACTTAATTATGCTAAACTCCTTAAAATATAACTTAACTTACATAATCGACTTATACAAGTATAAATGTTTTGGTTTTTAAAAAAACTAACGATATTTACACAAGCCCATGCCTCCCATCATTTGGCTACCATAAGCACCACCGCTTGCTCCTGCTGTAGAATTCAAGAAGAGTTCTACATATCTGTGTTCTGAAATGAGAGAAAAGGCATACAAGGTTAGCTTAAAAAAAGACACTAAAGTGATATTTACACAAACCCATGCCTCCTAGCATTTGGCTACCGTAAGCACCACCGCTTGCTCCCGCTGTAGAATTCAAGAAGAGTTCTACATATCTGTGTTCTGAAATGAGAGAAAAAAAGGTTTGAAAGTGTTTGTTGGTGAAAGAAAAAAGATAAGCACTTTAAGTTCTTTAACAAGTAGATGTGTGAACTTCAAATACTCTTGGTAAAAAAAATTCTAGCTGCTTCTCAGCTAATTACTCTGGTTTCAACCACCAGCCTTTTGATTTAAACATTCATCCAAATTGTTCTAAGTTTGTCAATTAAGGATATACTTCAAGACCACGTTACCACAAACCCCTTTTCAATCATACTAATTTTTAAAACCCACACGCTTTCTAAACACACACCACGGAACTAACCCATTACGGGAGAACAAATTTCTCATACATCCTTACTATTTCTCTATCACAAACGGTGGTCATTCAAAAATCTGTTACAGAGACCCCAAAATACTTAAGACCACACTTACGCATATTTGCTTTGTCTTTTGACATAGCTGCCACAGCATCTTCATGAGTTGCAAACTCGACATCTGCTTCACCAGTTACTCTGCCATCAGGACCAATTTCAATATGTACTCTCACAGGATTGAGCGGTGAAAAAAACTAAATACAAGGTATTTCAGAGAACGAAGTCAAAGATCCACCATTACCAAAAAAAGCACAATTTAAACCCACTGGTTTCACTTAATTAGAATAAGAACCAAGTTTTTACTGCTATGCTGAACCAGACAACTCGTAAATTTATCCTACACTTACATTATAAATGTCATTCTCAGTAGCTCTGTAAGGTAATCCCCGCATGTGTACACAATGTCCTGTTGTGCTCTGGAAAGTAGAGCCACCATCCCCGTATCTGTGATCAGACATTCCTGAAAAACAGTAATTGAGGTCTAGATTTACAAGAGTGTAAGTATCCTTCAGCTGAGAAATTCAATTCTTACCTTACCTCTTCCAAATCTATCCGACCCAAATCCATAGCCATCATTATAGCCATTATAATCATCATAGCCTCCGTAACCTGAAAGACAGTTAAGGACAATCAACCAAATGAAAAGAGTTACAGGAGGAACAGACCTTATGACGCCTGCACAGCCTCACGTACCTCCACCATAAGCACCACGCCTCATCCGTTCAAAGCCAGCCCCCCTGCCAATGCTGTTGTACCCTCTGCCAGCTCCAGGTCTGTCATAGGGACCTGGCCGCTGCATGGCCATCAGCTTTCGTGGTGGATCATAGTGAGTTCTAACTTCAGCACGACTGCTCTTAAAGATTTCAATATACCTAAAGCATTGTTCATGAGGGGAGGGGATGGGGAGGGGAGAGAAAACATTAGTCCATTTCATACAGGTATTTAGTTACACAAGAAAACAATGTAGTCATAGCCATGAAACTGACTAATATTTAAAGCCAGATTTCTTATATTTGCATAGGCAATGACCAGAAATTCACTCAATTGTAAGATTTAATGTAAAATTTATTGAGTAAAAGTCACTCCTCTGAGGCAGAGAGCCCAACCTTAGGGGTAGAGAGGAGTACTATAAATGTCTTAGGAGGGAAAGAATTCCACTCAACTTTCAACATTTCATGTCTTAAATCCGTTGGCAGCATGTATAGCAAGTGGGCTAAAAAGCCAGCCTCCACCAACAGTCTAGCCCACACTACACATTTCCTTTCGCCAATAATACCCCAGGCCTATGCTTTTAGTAGGAATCAGCATAGGTAAGCGCATGCTTCAATGAAAAATAGTCACAAGCAAAGAGAATAAAACCTTTTGTGACAATTTCTTGAAAGCTATGCTTATTAATACATATGCAGAATATTTATACAGCAAGAAAAAGTTTGTTGCATTTCAACTTTAAAAACAAGATCAGAAAGTATCACATTTTCTTATGGTAATATTAATTTACTAGGTGGGTGTTATTACAGCTAAAGCCAGGTTTGCATTAACATTTTTTTAAAGCCATAGTCTCTCAACTCTAGTGATTAGAATTAGGAATCTTACAATATTGTCAGGGAGATCAAATTAACTGGGGACAATTTTAAAACCTAAACTTTCATCTCAATGCATTATAGGACTTTAACACAGAAAATTTGAAAATTGTGGCAAAACATCAATCAATTGGGACTAGAAAATAGATTTCTTCCTTCTAAGCAGAGAGAATATGGATTTAATTGTTTACCATAAGAAAAGTGACAAATCCAACCAACCATCCATCCCCACCTGTGCCCTATTCTTTCCTTGTGTTTCTTTAGAGCCTTTTCAGCTATTTCCTGTGAAGCAAACTGCACGAAGGCCTCCCCCGTACTCCTCCCCTGGAAGTCCACCGGCAATGTTATCCCATTTGGCACGATTTCCAACCCTTCAACCCAAGGACAAATAACCCCAGTAGGGGGGCAATATTAACATCACAAGCCCAAAAATGATTCTTCTTATAGCTTTAAATAAACCAGAATTTTAACTTTAGGTGAACGGTATGCTTTCAACAAGTAACTCTTTACATATGCATTGTAATAATATGAAGTTCCATTATTATAAAGCATAACTCAATTCTTAACACACCCCATGGCATAGTATGTAAAAGAAAAAAAACAAAAACAAAAAAAAAACAAAAACAAAAAAAAACAAAAAACACTTGAACACAGGATGCATTAAGAATTCAACAATTAACACTCTAATCTATGCAAATTAATGTTGAGAATTACAGAAGAATTTAATAAAGTTTCAAGCATTAAATACAACAGTTACTAAACTTACAACACACCTTTTACCTCATTTTATATTTCAATGTTTTAAGTTAGTGGAACTTCAACTTTTTAAAAAAATTACACATTTAAACATTTTATATACAAATTGAAACATTGCTTAAGTCATATAATTGACAAACATACAATCTAAGCTTTTCAACAAACAACTGATCTACACAGCACAATCATGCACTCTTATGCTCTAACAGTAGTATGATTCACTTCTGGAAATTCCGTCTATGAAAAATCCTTTCCGTGGATACATTCCCAAGCTTACAAAAAGGGCTTAAAGCACTTTCCTAGAAGATATGAAATTATGTTCATATTTAACGTTGACAGAAAGCATTCAATTCTCACCAATTTAGACAAAAACAATCAAAACAGACTTGATTTCAAAAATTCTGGCAAAATATTAGGACTTGATAACATATCTAAGTCAAGATTTTAATACATACTACACTGAACCATGAAAGGATTTCTTGTTCTTAATTCCACTTTATCGCATCATGAATTATAGAAGTTACTTAAAACATATTATCTAACATTCTGCTAAACATGCAATTTTATCAGCTCTTCAGCATAAAAACATTCAAATACTTTAGGCCCAAAACAATTTCAAAACACTTTCTGTATTTCAGATACTGAGACTACATTCAAACTACTCCTACATTAGACCGACTTTTAGTAAGTTTATATAATTCCCTGGCTAAACCAACCATAAAAGTGGTGTTTTTTCTTTTTCCACAGAGAATTAGACCATTAGAGACATTTCTGGGCCCATGACCCAAGGTGTCTTACCACACAGGCACTTGCCGTCAATTACAACCACCTAACTGATACTGATCTGACATTAAAGAATCTTACCTTTAACTTGGTACTTTGCTGAACAGCATTGTGAGGAAAGTAGTTAAGCTGTTGAGGACAATCCTCAAAGATCTACTCTGAAGAACTACAACTAAATATAGGCAAACTTAGCATTTTGGAAGGACTGAATTTCCACCTTTAAGATGGGCTTAAATTATTTGAAGGTCTCCAGGAAGAAGAAAACATTTAATTCATCTGCACATACTCACACCTGTTTAAGTATCTAAGCTACTGAACTTTAAGGTCTATTAAATCCCATGTTGCCAGAAGCTAGCCAGAACTCACTGCTCAGCATCAAACACAACTACATACCTGAGAAGAACTGAACAATTTCTTCCTTGCTACATCCAAAGGGGAGTCCTCTAAGCCGTACAAAGCCATCATTGGCCGTGTCAGGACTATTTGGACCAGTATGCTTCAACACCCAATCCATTTCAACGTTGTTTGACTTGAATACTGAAAGAGGTGCTTAGAATTAGTCAATTTTGGAAAGTTAGAGAACAAAGTTCAGACTTCCTGGGTCTTTAGATAATCTAGGAAGAGCTGCCATAAACTCCCTTAGATGACCATTTCCATGCGGTCAAATACCTAAAATTCAGAAGGGGTAAGATAGAGCTCTCTGTGTTTAATATTTTATTTACTGTTACTAGGGCAACATAAATCAAACCTTCAACATATCTGTGTCCCATAGTTTCTCTGTCTTTTTTCAGGGCCAATTTGACTTCATCTTCTGATTCAAGTTCAACAAAAGCCTCGCCACTCGGTCTGCCTTCTCTGGTGTAGATGAAACGAATACCTTGAGCCCCATTTTGAATTTTGCAGTCTGGAAAGAAAACAACCGTTAATACAGAATTTAAAACTAAAAAACCACCTCTGGGTGATACAGATGAAACGCCTGTGTATTCCCCTACTACTAGGCAGAACTTCTGCAAAGCCTAGAATGACCCATAGTACCAATTCCCAGGGACACTTTCTAGTACTTAAGCACTTATCTTCCCCCAAACTTTCTTATTCTCTGGACGCCTTCCCATTGCATCAAGAAAATCCAATAGTCAAAGCAATTTCTTAACAAAATTATCTCCAAGTCCTCTCCATTGAACATCCTTTGTAACCTCTCATAAACTGAGTCTGGACTCTGATTTTATGCCATTTTCTGAGTCTGGTTTCACGTTTCGGTCTGAGGCACTTGATAGTTTTACCTTACTGGCAGCCATATACAATTTCTCCTGCGAATCCAAATTGCAGGGCCAATACTCACCTAAAAGGGGATCAATGTTAGGCAAGCTAAAATGCTCCAAGTTGCACAGCTGAAGCCAAACCCAGTCTTGCTCACTGCAAGGTGGCTTCCAGTGTACTTGGTTCTCGTTTTACAGGTCGTTTTCCGTTACCAATGCTAAATTCAGATAGTAGGTCAATCCTACAAGTGTCCTTCCAAAACCTGCAAATTTCTCCCAAATATATCTGTATCAGTCTGAACTCACACTAAGACCAAGGACATTTTGGTAGGAATTACTCAGGAAACCTGCATACTGGAAAAAAATCTACATAGGCAAGTGAACTTCCCTGGGCTTCAGTGTCCTCAACTGTAAAGTGAGCCAGATCAAGAACTAGATGAGCAAGAACTCTTCACAATTACCAAATCTTCATTAGGAAAATTTTCTGAAATTAAGAAGTGACATTTTAACTTTCTGAAGTGGAAAGCCCCGCTTCAAGGACATACCGAAATTGGAAATAAACTGTTTAAGGATTTGCAAAACGTATCGTTTGCCCAGCTAACTGGACAATTTTCCCAAGATGAGCGAAATCCCATTTATCATTTCGAAAAGACAGCCGTAGAAAGACTAGTGCTTAGAGTAAATGAAGATAAAACAACCCTCCAGAGGCCGCACTGCCCCCTTCCCCCCTCTCGAGGGCTCGGAGGGCGGGCGGGGCTTTCGCAATTTCCATTGCGTAACAGCGGCCGGCCAGGCGCGAGCAGCCCAGCGGGAACGGCTTCTGCCCGCGCCCCACCAGGGGGCGCCCCGGGCCCGGCCCGCCCCGCCCTGGCACGCCCGCCTCCCGGCTCGGCCGGCCAGCCGGCCCCGACGGCGAACTCCCGCCTCCGCCTCAAACTCACCAGAAAAAAAACGCTGCACTTCGTCTGCCGAGCAAGACCAGGGCAAGCCCCGGACCTTCACCACGAATCCCTCTCCGCCTTCGGTGCCCAACATCATCGTCTCCTAGTTGGTCCTGGCGTCGAGACAGCCTGCAAGGCGGCGGACGAGCGTCAGACCCGGGAAATGATCAAATTAAACGGCCCTCCGCCCTCGAGGCGGCCGCCGGCCTGCGGGGCCCGAGGAAGAGCCGAGCCCGTGCGGACGCCCGAACCCCGGCGATTCCAACACTCAACACCCCTTCGGCCAGCACCCAGGCCCCCGAAGCCGCTCTGGACACCAGGTGCTATTGCCCCAAGCCGAGGGAGCCCTGGCCTAGCGCCAGCGTGGAGGCAAAGAAATGGCGGCGGCCGCTTCCGCTCCGCCTCCTCCGACATCTCACACAATAGAGTCGACGCGGCCTGCAGGCCTCGGCGGCCCCGCCGCTACTCGGCGAACTATTCCTGGCTCCAGGTGGCAGCCCGCACCTTGCCAGGGCCCCCCAGGCTCTACAGAGGTCTCGAGGCAAGCAATCCTCCCAAAAATGGCATCCTCGGGGGCCGCTAGGCGGCAAATACAGAGCCACAAACACTCACCTGAACACACGACTTCGGCGTGGCTGAGAAGAAATGGCCAGCAGGCGCCTGCGCAACCTAAATAAGGCCCTTTGAACAAGCTCTGCGCACGCGCAGCTAGGTGCCCGCACCGCCCCCTTGCGTCACACAGAGCTCAGACGCATGCGCAATTTCATGAGCCGGCCCCCACTCTAGCCAGCGCACTATTATGCGCATGCGTTTGGGGCTCCTTCCCCCTCCCACCTCTATAGACCCTTTGGGCTTTTTTGCGCCTGCGCCATCCCGCGTTTATTGAACTTGGAGCCTCCGCGGTTTACGATTTAGTTTCATGCGCATGCGTCTTCCTTCCAAACCGTTCAGTCGCGTTACCCGCCAGAGTGGGGGAGGGGAATGGCGGCAATCAATTCCCCGTAGGGACCGTATGTAAGGCAGTCCCGAGCTCTGGGTTGTGGTGAGGTGGCCGTGTTCCTACCCCTTCCCTAGCCTATTATCCGCGCCCCGGGCCGACCTGAAGGGACAGCCGCTCCCCTCCTTGGCGCCTCCTGTACCCCTTTTCTCTCTAGAGCCAGCCCATGACCACCTGGGTCTCTCTTGGGGGCTGCAACACCAGGAGCACGTCCGAGGCGTGTATGCCTCCACTCCCTTTACCTGCCACCGTCGGGCCTGGGGCCCGGACCCGCGCGGGGTCCCCGTGCCCGTACCTCAGTCCTGTACCCCGCTTTTGCCCTAACGAACTCGCACCCCGCGACCCCAGCTGCGGCGCCCCGGGGTAGGCGGGCCCTGAACGCCGCGGGGCGCTCGCACGAGAAGGGGTGGCCCGATGCCGCGTCCCGCTGAGCCTCGTGAGCGCCAGACTCCGCTCGTCTGAACCGGCTCAATTCTTCCAAGGCCAAGTTGTACCCATTTCCCAGGTGGAGACACTGGGAAAATGACCCCGGGTCTCCCCGTGTGCGCCTGTGGCACGAGATGAGTGAGGTTCGTGATTCCCACCAGCACTGCAGAAAACCGACCCGCCTGTCCTCTCCGGCTCCAGCCTGACGGACACAGGCCATAAACACGTTAACAATAAGGGAGCGTGGGAAAGTGAGTGCAGGCCTCTCCGAATGCAGCCGCGGAAAGATGCGGGCGCAGCGTGTCCCTGCCGAAGTGCAACGGTCTGGAGTCCGAAAACAGTTTTGACAGGGTTGGGAAAACTAGAGAAAGATACCGATGGAGTAAAGAGTAACGGTGATCCTAGATAGGATCCCAGAGGTAGGGAAGGGCCCGATCTTGAAATGCTCTTGACCTGCCATTTAGGTCTTCACAAGGGGGTTAACTCCAAGTGCAAGGGGAAGACAGTAGCGGGTCTTCAACAGGAAGCGCTAGGAGCTGTTTTTGTAAAGGAAAATTCAGTGGCTGGGAGGGAGAGAAGGACACAGAAGGAACAGGCAGGGTTAATAATGCTGCCTGCCCTCAGGTGAAAACAGAGCTAGACGAAATGGCATTTTGGCTGGAGTCACCAAGATGTGGGACTCCCAAATCTTCCAGACAGTAGGTCTATCTCTGGGTGATTCAAAAGTAAGGAGAACACTTACTGCTCTTGGATGCTCTCTCCAGGATATCACAGACACCTCCCAGAGGCTTCTTCTTCTTCTAATTTTTTGTTTTAATTGAGGTACAATTAACATTCAGAGGTGTCTTTTTAATAGGTTACAGCACTTGAGGGGCGCCTGGTGGCTCAGTCGTTGAGCGTCTGCCTTCAGCTCGGGTCGTGGTCCCAGGGTCCTGGGATCGAGCCCCGCATCGGGCTCCCTGCTCGGTGGGAAGCCTGCTTCTCCCTCCCCCACTCCTCCTGCTTGTGCTCCCTCACTCGCTGTATCTCTGTCAAATAAATAAATAAAATCCTTAAAAAAAAAAATAGGTTACAGCACTTGAGAGTTCTGGTCTTATTAAATGACCAAGGAACACTGGTTTATGATCGGATGAGGAAAAAACCCTAATCTCCTTGATAGTGCGTTAAAAAATCATGTTTTGACCTTTTAACAATATGGCCACACTCCTAAGATGTTTATTTTTCCTAATTTTTTTCTATAGTTTCCTGGGATTTTCTTCCATAATGAGAATGGGGGCACCTGGCTGGCTCAGTTGGTGGAGCATGTGAGTCTTGATCTTGGGGTTGTTGGTTCTAGCCTCACACTGGGTGTAGAGATTACTCAAAAATAAAATCCTTAAAAAACTAAATGTAATTGTACGATCATCATAGAAAAACTAGATCATCTCCTTAGGATAAATTTCTAGAAGTAAAATTATTCAACAAAAGGATCTGAGTCTTTTGAAGGCCACTAATAAAGGTTATAGCACTTCACAACCCTCTCTGTGGTGAGTGAGGGTTCCATATCCTTTGTTTTCCTGGCACTGGAAATTTCCTTTCCACTAATCTTTGCTAATGTCTTGCTGAGAAAAACCGTATCTCTAATTTGTGCATCTGTTTGATTACTAGCGAGGTAGAATAAATTTTATACAGTTATAGCCAACACCCTGTTATATAGATTGTCAGTTTGACTTCTTTCTCTCATCTTTTGGACTTTATTAAGGCTATTAAACCTTGGCCACAGCTGCCCCAAATATTTTTCTGTTTGCTTATCTTCTACTTGTTTTAATATTTATTTTTTTAAGACTTATTTATTCTAGAGATAGGGCACGAGCAAGAGGGGCAGAGAGAGTGAGAGAGGAAATCTCAAGCGGACTCTGCTGAGCAGAGCGGATGCGGGGCTCAATCTCCTGATCCTGAGATCATGACCTGAGCTGAAACCAAGAGTCAGTGGATTAACCAACTGTGCCACCCAGGCACCCCTGTTTTAATATTTAGAAAGAAGGACGTTTTTGGGCGCCTGGGTGGTTCGGTTAAGCGACTGCTTCGGTTCAGGTCATGATCCTGGAGTCCCGGGATCAAGTCCCGCATGGAGTTCCCTGCTCAGCGGGGAGCCTGCTTCTCCCTCTGACCCTCCCCCTCTCATGTTCTGTCTCTCTCTCAAATATATAAATAAAATCTTAAAAAAAAAAAACAAGGACGTTTTTAATTTTGATGAAGTCAAAGACATGGATACTTTACCTTTTTTATCTTACTTTTATCTTTTTTTTAATATGACAGTTATGTCATCTTTTTAAAAAGATTTTATTCATTTTGGGGGGGAGGGGCACAGGGAGAGAGAGAAAATCCCAAGCGACCCCACGCTGAGCCAGGAGCCCAACATGGGACTCCATCCCACAACCTGAGATCATGACCTGAGCTGAAATCAGGAGTTGGACGCTTAACCCACCGAGCTACCCAGGCGCCCCGACAATTATATAATCTTTATTGACCTTAACCAGGAACAACACACAAAGTGTGTAAAAGTTCATAACGAAAGCACTGACTTCCTCTCCATTTTCTCCCTCAAGTACTTTTTTGTCTTTACGCTTAGAAAGCCATTTCCCACAAAGAGATAAAGAATGTATTTATTCATCATCTATCTCTTTCATCAATTCTAAAATAACATTTCTTCACAGTTTAACCTCTCTAAAATAGGGACGTGTCTTAAAAACCAGTGGCATGTTATAGTTTAATTGGCAGCATTTATTTTCTTAATGGTACCTAAATGTGTCTTAAAATGGATGACATCCTGGGACGCCTGGGTGGCTCTGTCAGTTGGGTGTCTGCCTTTGGCTCAAGTCATGATCCTGGGGTCCTGGGATCAAGTCCCACTTCCGGCTCCCTGCTCAGCGGGGAGTCTGCTTGCTCATCCCCCCTGCTCATGCTCGCTCTCAAATAAATAAATAAAATATTTTTTAAAAATTGATGACATCTTATGTTTTTGTTTTGTTTTTTTTTAAGATTTTATTTATTTATTTGACAGAGAGAGACACAGTGAAAGAGGGAACACAAGCAGGGGGAGCGGGAGAGGGAGAAGCAGGCTTCCCGCCGAGCAGGGAGCCCGATGTGGGGCTCGATCCCAGAACCCTGGGACCACGACCGGAGCCAAAGCCAGACGCTTAACGACTGAGCCACCCAGGCGCCCCTTAGGTTTTGTTTTTAAAGCATTTTATTTATTTATTTATTTATTTATTTGACCGAGAGAGAGAGAAGCCCAAGCAGGGGGAGCGGCAGGCAGAGGGAGAAGCAGGCTCCCAGCTGAGCAGGGAGCCCGATGCGGGACTCGATTCCCAGGACCCCAGGATCATGACCTGACCCCAAGTCAGACGCTCAACCGTCTGAGCCACCCAGGCATTACCATAGAGCTTTACCTTAAAAAAAAAGAAAATTAAAAGAATGTTCATCGCAGCATGAAATGGCACCCCATCATCTTTACATTTTCTTTTAAAGTAATAAAAATGGTGATTTGGGGGTATAGTTTTGAAAAGCTGTTTACAATATTCGTTGAGTGAAAACCAATTCATGAAACAATAATAGTATGGCTCAGTTTTCTGAAATATGTATAATTACACACATGTGTAGAATGTGG